CACCATCCTGGGGTAGATCGGTCCTAGAGAAATGCTGAGACCTGAGCCAGTCTGATCACTGGGATTTAGAGGAAGAGAGCTCGCCCTCCTCCGGCACCACAGAGGACACTCAGCCTCCAGAGAGTCCCCATGTTGCTCCTGAAGGCTCAAGGTCATCCCCAGAACGTCAGCTTTAAAATGAGGATGATTGTTTCTGCACCACTGTTCCGCCTCACTGGGGAGGGCTATGGTAAGAAGGAAAAGTTGAATTTATAAAGATATTGAAATGTGATAAAAAGTACAGATAATTTTTGTTTCGGATGATTGTTTTGTTTAGCAGTGGGAGAAAAGACACACTATGGGAAAATATATACCATGCAAACAGGTTTAGGCATTTAGCACTGTGCTTGGCTCAAAGGAAGCATCTCGTAAACGTAATAGGAATAAGTATAGTCAGAAGTAATAAGCTGTAAGAAGAAACTGATATGGGCCATGCGGTGGGTGGAAGAACTGGGACAATATAAGGTGCCTGAAGGTGCCGAAAGGGATGCCTCTGATTATCACTCCCACCTAGTAGAGGGCCCTGCAGGAAATGTGGGACCCAGCCCAGCTGATGGAGTTGCCCTGCAGAGCGGGGCAGGGAAGGCCCCAGGGTCCAGGGACAGGCATTCATGGGGGCCTGGAAATCAAATCTCAGGGCAGGAAGGGCCTCCAGAGAACACTCAACAGGGGAACCTTGAAGCCAAACCTGGTCTCCTCCATAGCAGCCCAGCTTCTAGCTGTTTTAGGAGGAGGGACATTCTGCAGAGTCAACTTTCATGTGAAGAAAGTTTACTGTGGTTTGAGATTGTTTAAAAACCACTGCCCTAATTCTACACTCTCACTCTGCAGGTGGAAAACTGAAGCTCGGAGCAAGGAATGCCCCACTCTGGGGTCAGCCAGGGGTGCGATCTGAGCTGCAGATCCTGGCTTGGGTCAAGCCTGGTTACTGAGCCGCTACTATCGGGCAAGGTGCCTACTGTGCACCAGGGTCCCACAGGGACCTGCTTGGGTGCTGTTTGGTGTTTTGGACCCTCGAGCAGGTGAACAGGGACTAGCTGGGCCGGTTAGAGGTCTGCTGGACTGTGCTGGCAGAGGGTGGCTCTATCCCTAGAAACCGGCGACAAGGCCACTCCCTGTTGACAGGAGGTGGGGGTCTCTGGGCAGGGTGAGGTCTTCACTGGCTTCGAGTCACTCACCTGGGGAAGACGCAGGTTCTCAGAGGGAGTGTCCTAGGGGACTCCAGAGGACTCATCTCTCTCTAACCCAATATTTATTCCATACGAGACACTGTGCCCAATGCTTCTAAGTGTGAACCCAAGAAATTGTTTCACAATCTATGAAGCAGGCGCTATTAGTAAACCCAGGTTACAAAGGAGGCAGGGAGAGGTTAAGTCACTCAGCTGGTGGTGGGTGAGGCTGGGATTTGAGCCCACAGGCTAACTTGAGAGCCCCTACTTAATTTTTCTTTTTTTTTTTGGCCGGGCCGAGTGGCTTGCAGGATCTTAGTTCCCCCACCAGGGATTGAACTCAGGCCCTCAGTAGTGAAACCCTGGAGTCCTAACCACTGAATCGCCTGAGAGCCCCTACCTTAAACTAACAAACAGGGACTTCCCTGGTGGTCCAGTCATTAGGACTCCACACTTCCACTGCAGGTGGTACAAGTTCGATGGGGGAACTAAGATCCCGCATGCCGCGTGGCACGGCCAAAAAAGAACCAAACAAACAAAAACCTACTTCTTTATTAAACCAAAAATTGCAGGAATGATAGAGAATTTCTATATGCACTTCACCCAGATTCCCCAATTGTAAATATTTTATCACATTTTCTCAATAATCCGCTCTCTCTCAATCTCGTTTTGAACCATTTGAGAGTAAATTGCAGATAGATGCCCCTTACCTCTAAGCACTTCAGTGTGTGTTACCTAAAATCAAGGACATTCTCTACCATGACCATAGGACAATGATCAAAACCAGGAAATTAACATCGATACGATACTATTATCTAGGGTTCAGACCTTATTCAGATTTTACTAATTATCTTAATAACGTCCTTCATGACAAAAGAAAATTCTGGGTCACACGTTGCATTCGATCATCTCCTTTGGCTCCTTTAATCTGGAACAGTTCCCCTTTCTTTATCTTTCATGATCCTGTCATTTTTTCTAAGCATACAGTTCCAGTTATTTTATAGAACTTCTCTCAATTTAGGTTTGTCTGATGTTTCCTCATGAGGAGAGCAATTGTATGAATTTTTGGCAGGAACACCACAGAAGTGATGCTGTCTCCTTCTCCATGAATCATTTAGGAGCTACACATGTCAATTTGTCCCATTCCTGGTGATATTAACTTTGGTCACTTAGTGAAGATGGTACCTGCCAGGTTTCTCCACTGTAAAGTTACAATCATTCTATTTGTAATTAATAATTGTCCATGGAGAAATACTTCGGACCCATGTAATGTCATGTTCCTCATCAAATTTTTGTGTCCACTGGTGATTCTTTGAGGAATCGATTATTACTTTGTGGTCTAAATTGTCATTTTCTAATTCTGTCCTTCTTTTTACTTGAAGGAGGAGTTTTCTCATTTATTTATTCATATCAGTTTGGATTCCTCTCTTATTCAGTAGGTTATAATCCATGGTTACTGTTACTTCTTTTGATGTTCAAATTGTCCCAGGTTTGGCCATTAGGAACCCCCTTCAAGCCAGAGAGCTCCCACTTCTAAATATGACATTGCACCATGTCCCTTGACCTTGACCAGAAAGGGAGACACATCCGTGGGGAGCAGTCCCTGCTGGGTGGATACTGAAACCCTGACCCCCTAATGCAGGCAGGCAGGGGATGGGAGAGTGTTTAGGCAGCCTGGTGTCCAGGGGTGTTGTGCAGACCCACTGGGGATTCATTCACTAGCTGAGCACCTACTATGACCTCAGCTTTTGAAAAGCTCATTGAAAATGGAGGGTAAAGAAAACAATCGCAATTGTGCAGTTTCTAAAGCTGAGAACTTTTTACCCCAAGAGGTAACATGAGTGGCTCTCCTTGATATGTAAATATAAGGTAAGGGGAATTGTTTGAGTGCCAGACATAACTGCTGCAATATTTGGTCACTTGGGAAGCTAGTGGGTCAATCTGCATATGAAACCCAAGGCCTTTGGGAGGTAAGGGATAGATGTCACAATCCCAGGTGGACAAAGGCCCACAGCCCAGAGGCAAGGAAGCATAGCAAGGGCTCTGAAATCAAAGTACACTACATCAAAGGAAGAGGGAGCCTTGCTGGTGACCAGGGCTCCACACAAAGACCTCCTAGTCGGGGAGGTCCTATGCCCTACTCAGTAAGATAAGGTAGGTGCTGTGATGTCAGTTTCAAAAAAAAAAGACATGGCTCTTGGAGTGACAGCAGGCACTTCAGGCAATGGAAACACCATGAGCAAAGAAAAGAAGGAACTGGGACACTCTCCCGTTTTGCCCCCAAAGCCGCCTCTTTTGGGTGGAGCTCCAGGCCCTGAATACATCCCCACATTTATGCTGGGCCCCACCCAGTTGGACAGAGCCCCAAACGTCTGGATCAGGAATTAGTTAGGTCTGGATTCAAACTCAAGTTCTTATACTTCCTGGCTGGGTGACTTTGGAAAGTCACTTTACCTCTCTGAGCCTTCACTCATTTATTTCTTCAACGTGCGTTTATTGAAGGCTTACTATGTACAGAGCACTGCTCTAGGTACAGGACGTGAAGTGGTCAGCAAGACAGACAAGGTTCTACCTTCATGAAATTTACATTCTGGTTGAAGACTGACACTGAATAATAAGCAAATACATAAGCAAGATAATATCCTATGGGAATATTAAAGTAGTATAAAAACGAATTTCAGAGGTGGGGGCTCCTTTAGCCAGGGCTGTCAGGAAAGACGTCTCTGAGGCAGGGACATCTGAGCTCACCTGAAAGATGAGAAAGAGCCAGGCAGTGAACAGAAGAGGAAACAGCAAGTGCAAAGGACCTGTGGCAGGAATGAGCTTGGTGTGTTTGAGGAACAGTAAGAAGGGCAGTGTGGCTGAAGAGTAGTGGTGAGGGGAGAGAGACGGGAGGTGAGGCTGCAGCGCTGGGTAGAGGTCAGATGGCTTAGGGTCCTGTACGCCAAAGAGAGGAGTACAGTTTATATTCTAAATGCAAAGGGAAACCTTTGAGGGCGTTAAGCCAGAGGGTGGGAGAGTGTGAAACAATCTGATCTTTGTTTCGAGAAGAACATTGGTGTGCAAAGAAAGCCTTTAGGGGCAAAGTGAAGAAGTTATCAGGAGCCCTCCGCCATTGTCCAGGTGAGTTGATGGTCCCTGGATCAGGTGGTAGGACTGGGGGTGGCCAGAGGTGGTCAGATGCAGGGTAGTGTTGGAGGTGGAGCCAGCCTGACTCATGAAGTGAAGAGGAAGGAGAAAGGGATGCAGCAAGGCTCCTAGGTCTGGGCTTGAACAGCTGATGTGGGAGAGACTGGGGGTGTGGGTTGCTGAGGTAGGGTTAATGCTCAGGAGTTGGATTTTGGCCGTGCAGGGTATGCAGGCCCCATCTGGTACCCACGTGGAGGCGTTGAGTGGGCAGTTGGATACAGTCTGAAACTCAGAGAAGCTGTTCGTTCTGGAAATACAAATTTGGAGCTCCTGAGCCTATAGATGGCATTTAAAACCACGAGACTAGATGAGATCATCAAGGCAGAGGGTGTAGGTCGAAAGGAGGCCCAGAACTGTCGACTGTAAAATGAGACAAATGACACCTTCATCCGAGCGGCTCTAGTGAGGTGTCACGTGAACGCCCCTAGCCGCGCTCTAACTGGGATTGAAAATTCTGGGGGCGGGACCTGGATGTGGGCGGGGTCTTCCGGGGCGGAGTTGGCCGGGGGCGGGGCTGAGGAGCTGGGAGGGCGCTGCGGGGCCGGGGGGGCGGCCGGGGAGGTGACGTCACCGCATGACTGAGTTTTTATGAATGAAAGGAATCCTATGAGTGAGTAATTCCGGGAAGCTCGCCTTACAACTCCGCGCGGCCCCCTGCGCTTCCCGCCCCACAACAAAACTCGGCGCGTCGCTCCCAGGAGCTGGGCTCGGAGCGACCCGCGGTCGGGACCTGAGGGGAGACTGACCAGGGCGCGGGCCGGGACAGCAGCTCGGAAGGCAGCGGGACCCGCGAGTGCCAGGGACGCCAGGCGAAGCAGGCCGAGAGGCGGGTGAGTGTCGCTGGTCCTGGACCGGGACGGGCGCGCGGGACCCGGAGGCGGCAGGGTCTCCGCACCCCGGGAACGTGCCTGGGGCAGGGCGCCGGGGCTCACTCGGTCGGTGCTCCCGTGGATCCCTCGCCGGGACGACTGGCTTGAGGAGTTGGTGGGGGGGGGAAGGGCAGAGGTCCGGCGGGGCCGAGACGCGGCCGAAGCAAGCTTGGCGGGGTGCGGGGGTTATGGGCCCCATTTGGGGGGCGCAGGCCGAGAGGCGGCGAAGCCAGGCAGGAAGGGACAGCGCGGGCTGGCGAGCGTCAGCGTCCGCCCAGGCGGGGCCGGGAGCGGTGTGTGAAAGTACGTGACTCGGTGAGAACAGTCCCTGGACCGGTGCCCGCGGGCCGTGCGTGCGCGGTTTGTTTACGTCCGAGGGCGGCTGTGCGTGTGTGTTCCCTGGCCACCTTCCTGGGTATGCCGTCAGGTGCGTGCTTGCGCCGTGTACCTTGGGGAGTGTGCGTGTGTGTGAGTGTGTGTGTGTGTGTGTCCGCGCGCTCCCAGGAGGATAAGGACCCTGGCGCCTGTGTACCAGCGGAGCGTACCTCGGAGAGAGAGTGACCACAGGAATAAACATGGAATAGGGACGCAGCTAGAGAAGCGCCCCAGTCCATAGTCACAAGGGGTCCGGGAATTCTCTCCCGGGTTGTCTCCTCTCCACCAGCCGGCGGCGTTCAGGCCCTTGCTCTCCCCGGAGTTTCCCAGGACCGCAGCCATGTGACCCGCGGTGTTTGTCCCCCGCCCAGAGCCGGCGCCTTCAGCCACAGGGTGGGGCGAAATATCAAAGATCCCACCGGGCTCGTCTGGGCGACGAGGTGAGGGGGCCACCCCTGGCCCCAGCACCCTAGTGGGTCTGGCAACAAAGTAGGCTGGGGTCCAGGTCCTTGTCCCCAGGTTTTCTGGCTAGCTGGGGGAAGACAGACTCTCCCCTCAGGACTCTCCTTCATCCCCAGGGTTGCCCAACCCTTCAGTCTCAGGAGAAACAGGAAGAGCCAGAAAAACCCACGGCAAAAGTCGGAGGTAGGAAGGGATACCACGCTTCCTCTGGGTGGTCTGGGTTCTAGAGGTTGTACCTGCTGGGTCAGGGAGGGTGAGAACCCAAGGTTGGGGTGGAGCTGGTTTCTGCACACCTGGTGGTTTCAGTTCACAGGTGGGACTAGTCAGACAGACCTATGGATGACTGGACCTGAGGAGATAGTTGAGGGCCTGGGCCAGGCATGGAAAATAAGCAGTGGGACTGCTGGTCTTGGTGCATGAGGGGGTAATGCGTGAGGGGTGGGGCCCCCAACCTCGCCCCGCCCCCTCCCCATCAGCCCCCTGCTGAGGGAGGCTGAGGGGTGGGCTGGGGGTTAGGGATTCCTTGGTCCTATTCTGCCCTCCCTGTCCTCCCACCCACAAGGCTACAGAATCATGGGGGTTGGGAGGAGGGCATTGAGCTTGATTAGATTACCTTTTTTAAAAAAAATTACTTTACTTTATTTATTTATTTTTGGCTGCATTGGGTCTTCGTTGCTGCATGTGGGCTTTCTCTAGTTGCAGCGGGGGGGGGGCTGCTCTTCGTTGCCGTGCGTGGGCTTCTCATTGCAGTGGCTTCTCTTGTTGCAGAGCACAGGCTCAAGGCACATGGGCTCAGTAGTTGTGGCTCCCAGGCTCTAGAGCGCAGGCTCAGTAGTTGTGGTGCACGGGCTTAGTTGCTCCGCGGCATGTAGGATCTTCCCGGACCAGGGATCAAACCTGTGTCCCCTGCATCGGCAGGCGGATTCTTAACCACTGAGCCACCAGGGAAGTCCGATCAGATAAACTTTTAACTTTGAATCTTTGAGCAGCTACCACAGCTGGGAACTTCCATGTCCCCATCTGCAACAGGAACTAGGTAACATCCAAGGTGGTAGGATGGGAGTAGAATGGGGGAGGTATGGCAGCCTGCACACACAGACTAATTTCCAGGGGAACTGTGGGAGAGAAAGCAGAGCTGACCACCCCAGGCTGAGGCCAAGGGTGTCCAGAAGTGTGTGGGGTCCAAGTAAGGGAGGCGGCTGCCAGGAGCACAGGAATCAAGCAGGCCCATCCTCAAAGCTGGGCAAGAAACATCCCTGCATAGGGCTAGGGACCAGGGGGGTGGGGGGCAAGAGGGAATGGCTGGTTGACTCAGTCATAGATGGAAAGCTAGTACTGAGAGGTTTAACCTCCCATGGAACCACCCCTGGGCCTTCAGTAGGGTCCAGGACCCAATGTCGGCTCCCTTGGCCTCTATGCCTCCCTCAGTCCTAACACTTTTAGCCTGCATTGCCATGGAGCCCATCAAGGCCTAGATGCTGGGGATAACATGGTGAACAAATCAGATCCAAAGCCTGCCCTCTGGGAGCTTACAGTCAAGGAAGGGAGATGAAGTTGAAGGAAGAGCCACTAACCTAAATGTAAAACCACAGCTGAGATGGGTGGTATGAGGGGGAAGTCACTGTGGTTAGAAAGTATATAACAGAGCTCTGACTTAGCCAGGGCAATCAAGGAAGGCTTCCCTGAGGAGGTGACCAGTCAGCCAGGTTGTCAGTTCAAGTGATGATCATCTATGAATGCCTTGAGGGCAGGGGCTTTGATTCAACTTTGGGTCTAAGGAAGCCCAGCACTGATCCTGGCACCTACAGGGTAGGTGCTTCTTGGGTGTTTGCTGATTGAATGAATGAATGAGCACTGGGTCAGTATTCTGGTAGAACTCCACAACACCTAGAGAAAAAGCCCTGGGAACCCCAGGGAAGCAAGAAGCCTGGGCATGGGCTGTAGGATTCTTGAAGCAGTTTCTCCAAAGCGAGCAGATACTTCAGGGTCCAGGTGACATCCTCCCCCGACCCCCCTCCACACACACCCCGTGTGACCCTCTGGGAAAAGTGCAGAGATGGTAGAGTTTACTGGGTGCTCATTCATTTATTGTCAGCCTGAGGATCCTGGAAGAGAGTGGGGAGAGGACATAGTGGAGGCCCAAAGGGCTGGAAGGGAGGCTGGCGTCCTAGGGTTTTGAAATGGGCCGAACATGATCAGGTTTATAGGTTTGTGTCAGTCATGCTCCCTCTGACAGCTCTTGGGGGAGGATAGATGGTGGGGTCAGAGGTGGAGGCAGGCACAACTAGAGGCCGGTGAGGAGGTGGCTTTGGTCATGGTTCAGCTGAAAGAGGAAGTGGTCCCTGGCTATGCAAGTGGAGCAGAGGGAGGGTTGAGGCTGAGAGTCTCTGAGTTTGTGTTCTCATGCCCCTGCCCCCAAGAAGCCTTCCCTGATTTCCTTTCCCTTCCTCCAGGGTCTCTACTCTGCTAGTGGTCTTGGAGCTCCATTCTGGGCCAGAATCTGACACTCTAAACTCTGAGACTGTCAGTGCTAGGAGGTACCTTAGGCTTGGTGGTTTGGCGTGTTGGGCCCAGAGAGAGGGAGTGGCGTACCTGAAGTCACACAGCGGGTGTGAGCAGGTGGTAGAACCTGAGCTGGACCCCCAGGCTCCCACTTCCCAGCTGGGTTCTCCCAGCTTTGCTCCCCTTCCAGCAGGGAGGAGGCTCCACCAGTGCTGGCTGCCAAGGCCCAGGAAAACACATTTTTTCCCTCTGTCCTCACAGAGGAAGCAAAATGGCTCAGCAGTCAGCGAGGAGCCCATGCCAGCGGGTGGGCCGTCTACTAGGGGGCCGGGGATGTGGCTGCTGACTGGGCAGGGCAGCTGTCAATCCCCCAAGAGTAAGTTCATTCTCCAGGCCTCCAAGGGAATGTTAGGAACCTGCAGACCCCAGAGGTCAGCTCTGCCGGCCTCAAGAAGAAAAAGGGAAGAAGCAGGGCTGGGGGCATGGGGGAAGTGCGGTGACTGGCAATGAAGAAAGAGCCCTGAGCTGGGGGTCGGGACTCCTGGGTTCCAGCCCACCACTGCCACCAAACAGCTGCCCTGTTGCTTCAGTTACAGAACAAGGAGGTTGGAACAGCTGCTGTCTCAGGTCCCAGGTCTACCGGACTGGCCGAGGCAGCCTGGTGGAGGACCCTGGCCCCTTGGCTGACAGCCCAGCAGCCCCTGGCCTGAAGTTGGAGGCTGAAAGCCTGAGGTTATCAGAAAGGTCCCCCTTCTTGTGACTTTCCCTCTGTGGTTGCCTGACTTTGCCGAGCTAGGACATTCCTGCGCAAACATAGGTGCCTCAGCTGACATCCAGCGTGTGCTTGAGGCTGCTGAGGCTAGGTCAGGAGGAGGAAGATGAAAGGAGGGAAGAACAGGTTGAAAGCTTCCCTAGGGCCCCAAAGTACTTAGAATCACAGCCAGCAGAGGGGGTGGGGCCTTCAGCCATTAGATAGAAGAGGGCATGGCCAACAGTTTCCTCTTGGGCCTAATCTGGAGGGCTGTGTTGACGAGGATTCTGAGGTTGTGTCCAACCTCAGTGGGAAAAAGTGCTGTGATTGATTACTGATGTCTGTGATAGGAGTGGAGGGAGGGGTGATGGTGAGATAAACCAACCACCTGCCACTTCTGATCTTGTCTAAGCCTCTTGTATTTCACACGCTAATACTATGATGATTGTCCCCACCTTATAAGTGAGGAAGCCAAGGTCCAGAGAGGAAAAATGACGTATCTGAGGGGACATGCGTCCCAAGTTCTGCGTCAGCTATAGCACCCTGTGCTCAGCACCCAGCAGGCTCTTAGTTAACCTATGTCAGGAGAGGCTTCCCCTCTCCCATTAGGCTCTCCGTGTAGCCCAGACTGCCTGGGTGTCGCCTAACACCCCAGCTCCCTGAACAACCGGCCAGGGGGCCTGGATATCTGTATGTCATTTGCATATCCCTAGCAGACCCAATACAAATCCTAGCACATCAGAGCTGGGCAGCCTCGTAGACTAGCAAGTCCTCCGCTTCACAGGGTTGGGGAAACAGGGCCCAGAGAGGGTGCCCTGTAAGGGCCACACTGGGAGGAGACACATGGCTCAATGTGGCCTCAGTCCCAGGATCCACCCCCTGTTAGCTGTGTGACCCTGGACTACTCTATTGACGTCTCTGGCCTCACAGGGCTGTTGGGAGAACTGGGGTGATGATGGTGTGAAAGGGATCAGGATTCAGTCCTGGGGCCTTTACAGGTGTTCAGAATTCCTCCTGATTTGGGGGGAGGCAGCCATTCACCGGCTGTGTGACTTCAGGCAAGAGATGCCCCTCTCTTGTCTCCACCTCCCCCTGGGTGAAGTGAGGAGGCAGGGGCCAGACGGTCTCTCAGGACCTTTCCTGTGTGGCTCTGGCCAGCCGGAGCTGCCAAATCAAAGCGAGGTCCCAGGAACTGCTACAGGCCCAACCCCTCCTGGACAGACTCAGCAATTCTAATAACCACCCAGGTGCTCACTGACCTCTCCGGTTTGTACCACTTAGTTCCACCAAAACCCTGCGAGGCAGGTATTGTTTGCATCCTACAGATGGGAAAGTGGAGACCCAGAGAGGTGGAGTGGCTTGCCCACAGTCACACAGCCTGGAGAAAAGAGAGATGGGACTCAAACCCAGGCTTTACCCTTAATCCCATGTTCCTCTCCCATACCCCACCTGGGAGCCAGTCATGAGGATAGAATCCCTTCTGCTCCCTTCCCATCCTCCTGGTGTCTGTGTACCATCCCTGCCATGCAGAAGCCAGGAGGCAGATGGAAAGCAGGAAGAATCGGAGGTAGGGCCAGGAGGTTTGTCTCTCGATGGTATTCAGCGGGGCTTGGGCTTGGCATTCGGTTCAGACTCTGACAAGCTGGGTGACGGACAGTGTCATAGACCCATCCACACTTCACCGGTGCCTGCTCCCTGCCAGCCCCTGTGCTGGCAGCCTCAGCACCCAAAGCTGCCTGGGCCTGGTTCTTGCCTGTGGAGCTCCCTGTCTGGTAGGGAGTCAAGGAAACAGACCATTACAACGTAGGGGAGAACTGCTGGGGTGGGTGGTGTTGAACAAGTCCTAGGAGCCTGGGAGGGCTTCCTGGAGGAAGAGATGTCTACGTCCAGGGCAGAAGGCTGAATAGTAGGAGTCTGCCAGATAAAGTGGGGGTGGGGGGAGAAGTGTCACAAGGTTTGGGGTGGCCCAAAGGCAAGAAAGCATAGGGTGAGAGGAAGTGTAAGCAATTCTGGGACTTCCCTAGTGGCACAGTGGTTAAGACTCCGTGCTCCCAATGCAAGGGGCCCAGGTTCGATCCCTGGTCATGGAACTAGATCCCACATGCATGCCACAACTAAGGAGCCCACGTGCCGCAACTAAGGAGCTTGCCTGCCGCAACTAAGCCCCAGCACAACCAAATGAATAAATTAAATAACTAAATATTAAAAAAAAAAAAAGAAAGAAATTCCTTGTGGCTGGAGTGCAGAATGGAGGCAGGCAGTAGTGGGAAATGAGTCTGGGGTGCCTGTGGGTTAGTAAATGGGGTTATGTGATATGGCACAAGGAGTGGTTTAGCTGGATAGTTAGACCTCTTTGAACAGGTGGCACTGAGCAAAGACCTAAATGATGAAGAGTCTATGGGGAGATAACAGGGAAGAGAACAGTAAAGAGAACAGCAAAGGCCCTGAGGCTGGAATGAACCACTCAGTGAGGCCACTGTGGCTGGACCACTGGGGCAGAGGAAAGTGGTATGAGATGAGTTCTAAGACAGCAGGGGCCTTGAATGCCAAGGTAGTGTGTTTGGGTTTTATTCCAAGTGGGAAAAAAAACTGACCTTGGCCTCCTGTCTCCCCTAGGTCTCAGCCCAGAGGGCACCTTCTGCAAACATGTCTGTGGATCCCTTATCCAGCAAAGCCCTGAAGGTGAGAAGGCAGCCCTTATTGTCTCTGGTCCTCCCCTCCCTCCCTGCCCCCGCTGAGCTCCCATCCCAACTTCCCCTCTGGAATCCCCAAGAGTGGCTCAGCACTCGTGAAGCCACTGAAAGGGCCCCGGGCTGGGAACCAAGAGGCCAGGGCTCTGGCCACAGGCTGTGTGCCCCGAGGCAAGTCACTTCCCTCTCTGGACCTGCTTCCCCATCGGAACAACGTTCCCTGGGCTGTAGGACTTCAAAGGTGCTTTCCTGGGTTTCTCCGGCTGAGTCCAGGCCCGGTCGCTGGGTTAGAATCCGGGCTGAGCTCTGGGGTGGCTCCTATTGTGTTCAGATCCCGGTTTGGCCCGGTTTCCCCTTTCGGGATTACTGCTCCCCTTCCGAGTCTTGGAGCAAGTCCAGCCACCACCTCAGTGCCCCTGGCGGTGAAGGGGGAATACTACCGGTGGAGGGGGAGCCGTCCCCAGCACCTGCTGCGCGCCAGGTCCAGAGCTCTGGGCCCGCAGGTCGCACTGTGACCCTGGGCCTCAGTTTCCCCATGCGCCCGACCTGCTGCCCGCAGATCAAGCGCGAGCTGAGCGAGAACACGCCGCACCTGTCCGACGAGGCGCTGATGGGGCTGTCGGTGCGCGAGCTGAACCGGCACCTGCGCGGGCTCTCAGCCGAGGAGGTGACGCGGCTCAAGCAGCGGCGCCGCACACTCAAGAACCGCGGCTACGCAGCCAGCTGCCGCGTGAAGCGCGTGTGCCAGAAAGAGGAGCTGCAGAAGCAGAAGTCGGAGCTGGAGCGCGAGGTGGACAAGCTGGCGCGCGAGAACGCCGCCATGCGCTTGGAGCTCGACGCGCTGCGCGGCAAGTGCGAGGCGCTGCAGGGCTTCGCCCGCTCCGTGGCCGCCGCCCGCGGGCCCGCCGCGCTGGTGGCTCCGGCCAGCGTCATCACCATCGTCAAGTCAGCCCCGAGCCCCGGCCCCGCCCCCGGCCCGGGCTCCGCCCCCGGCCCAGCCGCCTGCTCCTAGTGGCCGCCGAGCCCCGCTCGCTCCGCCCACGCCCATTCTCCAAACCACAGGCCCCTCTGACCCCAGCTGCCTTCCCTAAGTGCCTAAGCGCAGTCTCTGTCTCCAAGTGCCATATCTCTGCAGCCACCAGCCCCCGTGGTGAACACACACGTTCCCTCCCCAGAGCCTGTCTTCCTCCTGCGGCCCCTGAAACTGGGACCTAATGGCCCTGGGGAGGGGCAACGGTGATGAGATAGGAGGTAGGTGGGGTCGGGGTCTGGGGTTTCCTCTGGTAGAAAATTTCAGACTTCTTAGTTTGGGAGGAGGGGATACAGAGCGGATTAGAGAAGGGCCATCGAGGGGAAGACGGCCACCCCTCATTTTGTAACAGCTCAGCTTGTGCCATCAGACCCTCCCCACCCGCCAGGGATACAGGACTAGGCTTGGCCCGGTATGGGTCTTGTGGGGCTGTCTAGCTGGGAAGCTGATGCTCCCGCCCCCACCTTGCACCCGGATGCCTGGCCTTCCAAAGCTGGAAGACTCATTAGAAATCACCTAGTGAAGCCCACTTAACAGATGAGAAAACAGGCCTCTATCGGACGTGCCCAAGGCCACATATGCTTAGTGGTTGAGCTGGAACCCTGTCTTCCCACGCTGCCCTGAGATTCCAGCCATGGTTGTCAGGGGGACAGCGGCCAGGGCCTGAACAGGTGGTGAAAGGGCCTCCGTGGCCTGGGAGATGGCTCTCTGTGAGTCAGGTGAAGAGAAGTAGAGGGAGAGAGAAGGTGATGCAGATGGAAGAGAGGGAAGGAGCTGGCCAGGCTCAACCCTGGGCTCTCCCTGCAGCCAGGGAGCTGGCCAGCCAAAGAGAAAGGGGACCAAGGAGGTGACCACTGTGGCGGTGGGGAGATGAGAAGACAGATCCTATGGTTCTGCAGCCTGGGATAGGGGTCCTTAAAGGGAAGGGTCCCACCTGTCCACCCTGTGGGATGGGGGCTGACCACTGCCATTGATCGCCATTCTCTTGGGAAGCCCGGCCCAAGCCTCCCCCTGCCTGCCCGCCCCCAACTATACAGCTGCTCCTCCCTGCTGTTTATTTATTGCACGAATCTAAGTTATTCTCCCCAGCTAGAGCCCAGCGCCCACTGCCCAGGAAAAGTGGTGTGTGGCCCTGAGCTGGACTTTATATTTTATATCTGCAAATAAATCACATTTTATCTTATACTTAGGAGAAGCCGGATGGCAAAAACAACCAAAAAATGTTTTTTAAAAATAATTGCCCGGCTCCCGGAATTTATTTATTTTTCTGACTTACAGTAAGCGAGTTATCCGCCTTCTGTATTTTGTAGACTTTCTGAATAAAGTCAAGTTCTCTTTTTCCACAGTTTAGAAGTGTATGTCCTGGTCTATGTTTTTTTTGGGGGGGGTTCTGAATGAGGGGCCCAAGAGGGGGTTCTGCTTTCAACCCCAGACAGGCCCCTCTGCTGGGTGGGAAGTTTAGCCCCAATTTGCAGAGGAAGGAATTGTGCCCCATCACTAGCTCTTGCACCCAGGCTTGGTGCGGGGGCAGGTTAGGTGGAGGTGGAACCGGGCAGGGTGGTGCCCAAACATCTGTCCTTCCATCTGGTTGCCTGGGGCCAAGGAGCTTCCCTGGGGAAGGCAGAGCCAGGAGGATAATGATATGGGGGGTTAAATTCCCTGGGCATCCCTTCAGCAAATAAACAGCCCCACCCAGGGAGGAAAATTCCCCGATTGAAGAGTAATCTTTCCAGCCTTTCACATTGAGGTCAGATTTTATACAGCCAAGTAAAAAACATTCTCCTCTTGTTCCAAAAGGCACTGAGAAGCAGGGAGAGAAGTAGCTTCCTCAACCCCCGCCTGCGGGCCTGAAGCACAACGCTGTGTCTCATCCTAGGCCCCAAACTCCCTGTAATTCAACCCAATCTGCTAGCCCAATGGGGTGTTCTGTGGTCTGTGGGTCAGGGAGATCGAGGTGCGTTTTTCTTTAGCTGTATGACCTTTGATGACTTATTTCACTTCTTGCAGCCTCGGTTTACCCATGTGTACAACTAAGGTACTCTAAGGGCGTAGGTGTGACAAGCACTGGGAACCTGAGGGGCTGCAAGCTTTAACACACAGTGAAAGTTTACCCAGCGCACCTGAGAGCGGTGAGGAGGATTTCTGCGCGGCTGGGTACGGAGGGATGGCGGGGCTGGGAGAAGGCTGCTCCTGTCGAAGGCGCAGGATCTGAGAGCTGGGGAAGGGCCAAACCACATGGTTTGGGTTGGTCCACAGGCCTTTCTCCCCTCACAGGTTGGGGCCCAGGATCCTGATCCAGAGACGCTGAGCTCAGGCCGGCAGAAAGGGCAGCAGGAAGCTGTCAGGGGGACGAGTGGAGGTTGGCTGGGCAGGGAATTGCCCCCACCCACGCTGCATTCCTGAGTGCCCCCGTCAGCCAGGCCAGGCCCCAGGAAGGCATGCGGCGGTGGTAGGAAGGTGCCAGGTGTCTGGCACATGCCCACTGCCCCACAGGCCCTGCTCCAGGCCTCCTTACCCCTGGGGGAAGGCGCCTTGGGTCCCAGGGTGGAGGGTGGGCCCAGGGAGGCAGGAAGATAGCCTGGGAGGCATGAGGACCCTGGGAAATCTCTTCCAACCCCTGGGAGACACCTGCAGGAATGGGGCTGCCAGAGTATGGGCCCCCCTATCTGGTTGACCAAACTGGGTACGAGCTATCAACCCACTGTGCACGCCAGCCCTGTGGGGTGTTGAGGAGGGTGGACCCCTAGTGACCAAGGCTGCCACCATGTCCCACTGGCCAGGGGAGGGGGAGACACTTTGTCCAACAGGGGCCTGGACCCCAACCTCAGTCTCTGGCAATGGGAATCGCCCCATCACCTACACCTACACCCGGAAGGAAGGGGGTTTCCTAGGACACCCTTGTCCACAACCACTAAACTCACCCCCAAACACATACGAGGGAGCCGAAGAAGAGGAAGGAAAAAGCCTTACCCACAGGCAGAGATTTCAATACAATCTATATTATCTCATATATATATTTCTTTCTCACTGTATTTGCTCACTTCTGTCACGCATTTAAAATGTCACAGAGACCAAAATAGAGCGGCTTTCTGGTGGAACTCATGGCAGTCACACACGAGATACAAAACTAGGGGACTCTGTCTTCTCATACATCATACAATTAATTTTTCAAGTATTTTTTATGTACAAAGAGCTACTCTATTGGGGAAAAAAAATAACAAAAAAATAAAAAATAAAAAGGCAGATTACACATCCTAGGAAGGAGGGGTGGAGTGGTCGGGCACGCGTTCCCAGCCCCCAGCCCCCCAGGGGCTGCTAGCTCCCTGCCACGGAGCCCTGCATCCGCCATGCCAGCGGGCAGGTAGCAGGGTAGGCAAAGACCAGTGGGGCAGGGAGTCAGCAGCACACTTTGGCCTGGAAGGAGAATCAGAGAAACAGGTTCATGAAAGCAGATGGGGGGGGTGGACAGAGGTCCTCCTGGGACGGGTTGCCTCCTGCGTGGCCTGCCGCCACTGGCCAGGCCCACCAGGGGCCTGAGAGCTGGCCTCCGGCACCAGACATGCAGGCCTCTGTGCCTGCCACCTGCAGAGCTGACTTGGTCACTGAAGGAGGCCGGGGGACACTACTGTGATGGAACCCCCCTCCCGACCTCGGCACAGTTCAGTCCAAGAGTGGCCAGAAGGAGAGATGCCACAGCGAAGTTCTGCGCCCACAGGGCAAGGCCCTTCTCCCCCGCTCTGCCCCCTCCTCCAGGCTGTTGCAGCCCAAACCCATGTGCTCTCCGGGTTTCAAGTGACAGAACGCTCTGCCTGTATGAATGTGCATTGTGTCCCATCACAAGGCTCTTCCGAAGACAGTGGCCAGTGTAAGGCCGGCCTGCCTGGGGGCTGGGGCCCCGGGAGGCTCCATGATATGGGCGTGGAGGTGGGGGAGGGGGAGGGGACTGGTGGTCCTGGCCACCCGAGGCCTGTCCAAGGGCGCTTGGCCCAGAACTGCAGGATCCTCTGAGCGCCAGCAGCTTAACAGGGGGCCCCCAGGGAGTGTCTGGGACAGGCTGAGGGCCTAGTGAGGGGGAGCTTTCATATGTGACTAAGGCACAGAAGAGATGGGCCTTGGGGCCAGATGAGGCAGGACACCAGGCCCTGTTTGGATACGGGGCCAGAGAGAGGAGTCTCCCATCTCCTGGCTCCCCGCCACATGCCCCATCCCTCCCTCCTCCCTCCCGGAGTCCTCTGGAAGCTGGAAGCTGGTCTGAAACGTGGAGACCAGACCCTCCCCAGGAAACAGGAGGGAGCAGCCCCAGGGAGAGAGACCAGGATCCAGCAGAGGTGCTGACTGCTCAGCCTGGGAAGGAGGGGTGGGAACCCCTGACCCTTTGAGTAGCTGGGAAGCAAGGGCTCTACCCAAAATGCTCTCAAGAGGAAAGACCGCAAGTGGGAGGGCAGTGTGGGCGGCTGGCTGTCTTCAGCAGGCCAGGAGGAAGGGGCATGAGGCAGGCAGAAGGTGCAGCCACAGAGAGATCACTCAGGAGCCCAGACGCACCTGAGCACCCTTCTGAGGTGGGACCCATGGCTCTTGGTGTCTGGCTCTGATCCCTGCAGCATGCCAGTTAGGCCTGGGTCAGGAGGAAGGTCCACAGAGAGCATCCGTTCCCTCCTCCCTCCTCCTGCCCAGGGTGAGGCTAATCTAGCATCAGACAGGGGGACAGGGGAGGGAGCAGGCGGGAGGGAGAGCCCGGGTCAGAGTATTGCACGGTGTTTGGGGGAGGGGCTGTACGTCTTGTGGGGGAGGGGCTGAGAAGGCTGCAGCCGCTGGTCCACAACACAAGTGTCTGGGCCTGGGCACGGCTGGTCCCAACATGCTGCCGCCAAAGGACGAGCTGCAGGGGCATGAGAGTCGCTCCCACTGTCCGGTGCCTGTCGTCCAGGCAGTAGAGCCTTGGCCTTGTATAAACATTCCTGAAGGCTCCTGGGTGAGCCTGGGCCATCCTCTGGGCAGACAGCATCTGGCTGTTCCTCTTGAAGCGATATGTGTTTCTGGTCCAATAAATTAAAGGGCACTGCCGAAGCTGTGGCAGCCTGCCTCCCAGCCTGGATGTGAGGCTGGAGAAGGGGCACACCCTGCCCTGGGCCAAGGTCCCAGTCCTTCCCCGCCAGCAGCCGCACCTAGAACTCGTCATCAGAGCTGAGCAGGAGAGTCTTCTCGTTGTCCCGGGCGCCAGTGAGACTGTGGGAGCGCGAGAGGCCGTGGGCACCCCCGCGCCAGGTGGGCCCGGGCTCCAGGGTGGACTGCTGCGTGTACTGCTGGTAGGCGGGCGAGAAGTTGTGGATGGCATCCTGCACGATGTCGTGCGGGTTCATGGTCTCCTTGAGGCTGCTGGAGATGCTCTTCATGGGGGCGCAGCGGCCTGCAGGGCGGGAGGCGGGGGTGAGGGGTCCGGGCAGCGGGAGGCAAGGCAGCCTGGCCCCCTGGCCCCTGGTCCCGGGACCGAACCCCCTGCCCCAAGGCTGTGTCATCTAACCAACCCCTCCTGGGACAGAGAATGGGGTCCCGGACATGAGAAGGGACAAGCAAAGAAATGGCTCCTTTGGCGGGGTGCAGAGTGGAGCGCACCCCCGGGGAGAAGGTAAGCAGCCACTTGGGAAAGTCTGGCAGGCGGGAAGGGAGCTGGGGTGGAGACTGGCGTGCTGCAGGCGTGAGCCTGAGCACCCTGGGGAGGCCAAGACAAGCTCCGCGCCAACTGGAGACAGGGAGTGGAGGGGAGGGGCCCAGGCTCCACGGCACTGGCCCAGGCCCCTCTCGCCTGTGGGGTGCTCCCCTTCACTCTGGGGAGTGGACCAGGGACCCGCTCCATCAGGACAAGCCGACAGGGGCCTGGGCCCACAACGGAGCAGACATCTTGGCTCTGACAGGGCAGGGGCCACCTGCCTTGAGGTGCTTCCTCGTAATTCCCTAACAAATCATCCCCAAGGTTCTGTGGGGGCAGAAATGGCCCAGGCCCCCAAACCGAGATGGAAGGGGTGAGCCCGACTCTGGTCCCAGGTCTTGAGACTCAAACTTGCATGCTCTTTTCCCCTTCACACTCTCTGCCACGGAACAGAACTAACTCCCCAATTCCCCACTAACAGGCACCGTGCCCCCAGACAGTGCAGGGCATGTTCCAGGACAATGGGAGACCAGGACGGAAACAGGAAAGCTCTACAGAGGGCAGCCCTTGGAGGCGAGTGCTCTGGGCTCTGCCGCCCAGGGGTGCCTGGGGGGGAGGAGGCGGGGACACAGCGAAGGAGCTTGGGAGACACACATGCTGGTGACAGGGACCAGGACCGACGTGCAGGACAGACGTGCAGACTGAGAGCAGAACCTACCGTAAGGGCCGTATGTCGGCACTGCCCGCGGCCAAACCCGGGGCAAAAGCGGGGCAGGGGGAGGGGGAGAGGAGCCAGAGAAACAGAGAAGACAAGAGACAGCTGAGTGAACGCCTCGTGCCCACCACCGAGGCCGGCACCGCACCACGCACCCTGCCCGCCCCGCCCCAGGCCCTGCCGGCACCCAGGCAGCCCGCTGCCCCCTGGGGGCCTGGGAGGCGTGTCCACCTAGGAGACTCCTCCTTCGCGGCTCACGCTTTCTTCTGGTGGGGGACAAAGAGTGGACCCCCAGAACGCTGGTCGGAGTTCCACCTCTGCACTGAAGTAGGGACCGCCCACCCCACTTCTCCTCAGGCTTAGCTAGAACTGCTGAGCCCGTGTCGCCTGCTTTACAAACCTCACAACACTCCACAGACGGGACACGGAGGAGGGGGCAGGTGACGTGTACTGACCACACCACGGCTTTGCACCCAACCCTGACGGGCTGAGAGGGGCCAGGCGCCACGGTTAGTGGGTGGACAACCGGCCTGGGACCAGCACAGTGGTGGACAAGGGCTCTCAGCACCTTGGCTGGGCTGGGCTGGGCTGGCATCCCCGCTACAGCTGGATGCCTGACAACGCTGTTTCTGGCTGGAGCTGGATGTGTCTGTGGGCTGTGGACGGGAAGACAGCCCAGGCAACCGCGGAGAGCCTCTGCAGGGCCACTAGTGCAGAAGCGCCAGCTTGAACCATGTTAAACCTCAAGGGTGTAGAAAGGGTTCTTGGCCACGGCCTCAGACTCCTGGCATAAGGGTGACGTTCCCAAGGGCAGAGGGTGTCAGGACCAGGTCGAAGGGACATCGCCCTCAACACTGGGAGGGTGTCAGCCAGATCCTTCCAACTGGGGGCCTGGTGGGAAGCAGGTGGGATGCTGGCCGGCAGCGATGAGCCCTGGCCAGTACAGAGCCCAGCACTAAGTGTAGAATGCAAACCAGAAAAAGTACCTAGAGTGCCCAGGCAGCAAGTGTCAGGTGCCCGAGTCGCGAGGCCTGGAGGGTGATTCAGTCCACATGCTTCCAGCAGCCTCGGGTATTTTAAGGCCTCTTCCCAACCAGGGAAAGAACAAGGCAGGTAGGGCGAGAGGTGGGGGGCCCGAAGAGCCCTGCACAGGCCAGGCCAGGACAGTGCTTCTACACTCCTCTCAGCACGCCGCTCCCGGAGCCCGAGGTGGGCACAGGTGGTGGGCCTGGGCAAGTGGGTCCTGCTTTCAGCCCCACGGGCAGGGAGCTGGCAGCAGCCAAACCCCGGGGTGGATGTGTCAGACCAGGAGGCTTCCTCCTCCCCAGGCCCCGCCCCCCCACGGGGTGAGTCAGTTCAGGCATCCCGAGCCTCCTCTTCCTCCGCCCCCATGAGCATCCCCTCTCTGCCCAGCAGCAGCCAGAGGTAGCCCCCAGCCCCTGCTTCTCCAGCCAGCAAGTTAGAATCACCTGGGGATCTGTCAGCACATCCTGCCAGGCCCAAACCCAGGCCAATTATGCAGAAGCTCCGAGGGTGGGGCCTGGACAGCATGGACTTCTAAGACTCTCCAGGGCATCTTAATATACAACCGGGGTTGCCAGCTGCTGTTCTAACAAAGTGAAGATTAGCAGGTGTAAAAAGAAAGCTGTTAAAAGCTATTACCATCTGAGCCTGTTTCTTAGAAGGGATCAGGTTAAAAAAAAAAAAAGCTTTAGAGACAAGGGAATTACAGGACAAAATGGATAACAGTGTTCGATGTCAGGAACCCTTAGGAACTTGCTTATTCTAGGGTCTCTGTCCTGACCTTCCCATGGGGATATTGTGCTATATCATCTCCATACTCCAGATCTGCTGCAAGAGACAGGTGGGTGTCGCTTCCAGGACCAGTCCCTGACCCTGACACCTTGTGACAGGGGACAGGGGAGCCTGGACCTCTGTGGCCCCTTTCCTACACCTGGGATCCCTGACCTGACCCATCAACACCTGAAGGACCCTGGGAGGCAGGGGGGGCCCTGGGGCGGGGCCGGGAAGCACCCTTCCTACTGGGGGGTGGACTCCAGGATGCCGGCTCATACCTTGTGCGTCCAGCCTCTTGTCAGCGTAGACCTTGTAGGTGAAGGCGTGCCGCAGGGCCAGAGCTGCAAAGAACATCTCCACACAGATGATGAAGTCCTGGTAGCCAGCAGCCACGGTGCCCTCACCCACCGACACGCGGGCCGAGTGGATCTTGGGGATGGCCCCGCACTTCTCCAGGATGGCCAGGAGCATGCCTGGAAGGGGAGGTGTGGAAGCGGAGGCATGGGCGTCTGGTCCCAGACTGGATGCCCTTCCCCATCTCCCTTCTTCCTTATAGCCCCCCAAATGCCACACTCCCCAGGGAGGTTGGAAGCAGGGTCCACAGTTACCCCTGTTGGGCAGGGATGCAGACACAAGCCAAGGCCTCAGGGAAACCACACTCCCCAGGTCCTGGCTGGACACCACCTGGATTGGATCCCCCTGTCCAGGAAGCAGTCCCGCCCACGGTCATGGCTCCTGTGAAAGAGCCCTGAGGGCCCAGACATCACATCCCACAGGTGCTCAGTGGACAGAGGTCCCTTTGAGCTCCAGGCCAGGATCGCCTAGGGACAGCCCCATGGCCTGGGCCCTCGGGGCACTGGGGACGGTGGGCAGGAGGAAGAGGACAAGGCTTAGGGGACAGAGGGGCACAGGCCAGCCTCACAGGGGCTGGGAGGAGGCTCACCTTGCCAGAAGGAGAGAAAGATGACAGACTTGACCATGAAGAACTTGAGGACGGGGCTGTAAGGGCTGAGCAGCTCCCGAGTGGCAAAGTAGAAAAGGAAGAGGGCGTACAGGGCCAGGCTGACGGAGATGTTGTAGATGATGGTCACGTAGAGGTAGCCACTGGTGACGCTGTGGGAACGGGGAGCATTCTCTGGCTTGAACTGACCCTTGTGCAGGACAAGGGGCCTCCTTCCCCCCTTTGCCCTGCCCACATGCCACTCTGCACAGCTCTCAGCAATGCTCCCCGAGCCATCAAAGGGAGGGGACGGGTGATCAAAGCGGTCCAAACACTGCGGGGAGTGCAAGGGTGAGCACCTGCAGGACAGGCCAGCCCTGCCACCTGCAGCTCCGGTGCCCACGCTCCTGGTGGAGGACTCCAGGTGTCCTCGGGGGCGGGGCCTCAGACTGATGGTCGGAGGGACACGAAGCTCAGCTTTGCTCTTTGCGATTGAGCCAAGTGACGTCCCCTGTGAGCCTCTGTTTGCTCACCGGCCCTTGGGGGCCGTCGTGTAGGGTACAGGGAGTGTGTCTGAAGTGCGTGCAAGCTCAGGGCCACGTGGGCCACGTGGTCACTTTCACTAACCCCCCGCAGTCTTGTGTGTGCGTCAGTTCACACAGGAGAGGAGGCTCGAGACGGGCCCCTCAGGGCTCTGGCCCTCTGGCCCCCTGCCCTGGGATGGTCACTGTCCCTTCTTGCTCTCCCCGGCCCGCCGGCACCACTCTGCAGCCTGAAGGTGACAGATACTGAGGGCTCACTCTGGTGCCAGAGGCGGCGCCAAGTGCGATGGCACCACTGCCAGGCTCCGTCCTCACAATTCAGGGCTGCAGCAGGAGGGAGGAAGGCCGGGGTCAGGCTTGGCCTCCACTCAGAGGATGGACACGGGGGTGGGGCAATCTGAGGCCAGGGCATGAGCCTCGGGGCAGGGCCGCCCACTCCCCCCCACCCGCGCGGTGGGGGGACCCACTGCTTACTCAAAGTCACCGTCTCGGTACTTGCCGAAGGCCTGGAGGACCACGGTGCTGACAGCCATGAGCGGCTTCACCACGCAGAACTGCAGGGTGGCCTGTTGCAGAGAGAAGGTCAAGAGTCAAGGATAAGCACAGAAACCACGGAAGAAGCAGCTCCTCTGGCCAGCTGGGCCTGGGCTGGATGCCAGGGGATGGGGGCGGCCCAACCTCTTGCCCCTGGGGGAACTGCTGTCAGGAGGGGAAGGCAGAATACACGAGACAGTAACAGGGCGATGCAGCTGCGTGAGAAGACAGGAGGGTGTGAAGGAAGAATGGCAGAGACGCAGGAGACAGAGATTCCACCAGAGGAGGGGCCACCGTGAATGTGCCAGGGACGGGGGAACGGGCAGAGGGAGCAGCTCATGCCAGGAGCATGAGCTCGGCCCAGGGGCAGAGAGCGGACAAGTGCAAGGGGTTAAGTGCTGGTGAGGGGCGGCAGCAGGGAGGTGGCCCCAGAGAGCAGAGGCAGGTGAGGGTCTCCTTGTCTGCCCCGGGTCTGGCTCCCTGCCCCATGCTCTAGGCCTGGGTCCAGGGTTTCTGTCAAGCTGGGGTCTTACTGGGGATGGAGATGACCCCACAGGAGCACAAAAGAGGAAGCAGCCTGAAGCCCAAGGTCCGGAGTCCCGGCAGGCGTCTGAATTCTGGCCTTTTGCCAACTACCGCTGCGGAAGCCCGAGTGGGCGGTCGCCCAGCCTCTGAGTGGTTGCTCACGGTAGATGGTTGTAACCAGCCCCGTGTTGCACGGTCGCTGTGCGGGGACTGGAGAACAAGACCGCACGGGGTGTCCTTGGAGGTCTCCCACTTCTGAGCACTCAGCAGAGGTCTCTGCCACGGAAAGAATCCCTCAGCCAGGTTTCCACAAGTCCCTACAGAGGCGCCAGTAAACGCCAGAGGTACCCTCGGCGCCCATAAAATCACTAGAAGCACGATTCTCTTGAAACCAAATAAGTCTAAGCCACAAGGCCCCTTCTGTGGAGATGGGAGTCATTTAACAAGGCTAAGCTAGTGTGGCTCCAAATGGGACAAGGACCCCGGAGCAGAGAAAGTAACCTGTGGAACCCACAGTTTCTGTCCCGAAAGAGGCTCGAGTGCAGTTTGCAGGGGAGCCCGGGGCGGCCTGAGCCGTGTGGCTGCCAGGAGGAGAGGCGTGTGTGACGGGGGCTTGAGGGGCGATGCTGCGGTCGGCAAACCCCGCAAAACTCCCCTGCCCCCCACCCCCTTGAGGAAGCGGGACCAGCACGCTTTGGGGAAAGGGAGGATCAGCAGCATGTCCCAAGCGAGCCCTGCGAGCCTGCCGATAGGCCGGTGCTGCCCCGGGTCAGCTCACTTGGGGCCCACGACAGCCCCGTGACTTATAAGTACTGTCGGCATCCTCAGGGTACAGATGAGGAAACTGAGGCACAGAGAAGCTGAAGTGGCAGAAGAGGCAAACTCTCCAGGAGACTCAGACCCGGGCGCCGGCACTGCTGACAAAGCTGCGGTGTCCTCTCTCACGTGGGAAAGGGGGGAGGAGGCTTCTTCAGTTCTTTCCTTTTACTACCTGACCCTGCCACTTCCAGGAACAGCAGTGGAACATCAAAGCCCACAGGGCTGGGGAATAATGTGCAACAAGGCAACCCAGCTAGTGATCTGGGGTCAAAACTTCATACACAACATCACCATCAAAGAAGGCGGTGAGTCACAGCTGGGCCAGCGCTGGTAAACAATGGCTCTGACAGGCCCCACCCTGAACCCCGGACAGTCTGAACTCCTTCCCTGCAGGTCCTGTGGGGAGGTTTTGAATTTAGAAACACCCTAGGGAAGGAGGATCTGGAAGCAGAACTGCAGACTGGGCCGTCCAGGCAGTGCTTTGTGGGTGCGTCTGCACTGCGGGCACGGCCCCGCCCAAAAGGGAGCAGAAAGGCCAGTCCTCCCGCAGGTCACGGTGATGGGCCGTGGGTTTCATTTCCCCTCGTGACGACGCTGCATGATGCTGGACGGGCTGACAGGCCCTGTGGAGCCCCAGAGGAGACTAAATCGAGGTCATGCCAGCTGGGCGTGGTGCCTGACTGCCTCCCGGGCAAGGGACAGCGGGCTCTGAGCCAGGGCTGTGTTAAGGGCTTTCCCTCACCTGTTCCTCAAACCATCCCTTGAGGTGAGTATCATTACACTCATCTCACAGAAGAGGAAACCAAGGCTCAGAGAGGTTTCGTACTTTATCCAAAGTCACACAGTCACAGGAGAGGCTGGAATTCAAACTCAGATGGTCAGACACCCAGACCCGTGCACTTAGGCACAACACCACACTGCCTCCACCCAGGCCACTCGAGGCCACTGGGGCGGCAGCTCTGGAAACTGGAAGCTGCTAGACTGCCTGACAAGTGGGAAATGGGGGAAGGGACCAGAGGCTGCTCAGACCTGTTTTGTCATGTTCTTTAATGCAGAAACCCTCCTGGCCTCTAGCCGCAGCTAATCAGAAGTTTCTGAACTGAGATTCTAGAATCGCCATGCACTTCCTCAGACACTCACACGCCACAACTTGGTCAAAGTGAGCAGGAGTCTGGGACCACTTCCTGCCCAGGGCTGCATCGGGCACTCCTGGGAGACCTGTTGCTTCCCCTCTGAGCACACCCCACCCACGCAGGTGCATCCCTAACTGCTCAGGGAGTGGGTGCTGGGGCTTGGGGTGCCTCACAGGAAATGGGAACCCTGCAGGTGGGCCCTATGCCCGTCTTTGTCCCTATGTCAACCAGGGGCAGCACGGCCCCTGCAGCTGCTACTCCAGGGCACAGACCCAGGCTCCTGGTGCCTGGCCTGCAACTCTTGACCAGGGCAGCTGCTGGGGGTACCCACCTGCTTGCAGAACCGCAGAAATCCGATGGAGTAAGTCTTTCCCCAGAGGCAGCATGTGCCATACATACAGCTGGACCTGGAAGAGACAAGCAGAGAAGGGGTTGGTGAGCAAAGAGCCAGACTCAGGAAGGCAGGGCTGGGGGAGGCCGCCCTCACCCTCCTGCAGATCCAGACAAGCTGGGGTAGGGCGGGGTAGGGTGAGGATGGGGCTTGGATCCTGGGCAGTCTTTGAGCACAAGGCCAAGCACAGGGAGAGAAGCAGAAGAGTGTTTGCATATGCAGTAGGGTATATGCAGGAGCGGGGAGACACTGACCTTGGGATAACAAACCAACTTAAAAGGCACTGAATGTAAAAACTACAAGAGGGAGAAACAGGCAAACAGGAAAGGACAGGAAGAGAGAGAAGGAGAAAGAGCCAGGCAGGCCCTCCTAAGAGTTCCAATGAATGGCCTCGCTCAGGAAGTGTGGGAGAGGCAGAGGTCAAGGTCACGGGCAGAGATGGTCTGTGTGACCGGCTGACGCCAGGAGAGCTCGGAGAACGTCAGGCCCGGGAAACAGGGTGGTGTGGGGGGGCTCTGGGGGGACTTCATACTCACTCGATGGGCTTCCCTCTGATCTCTGACATGATGGAACTTTCCCCCCCAAGGTATTCATAGCACAGGCTCAGGAAATTATAGATGACCAAGGCTGTGAAAACAATGTCCAGAGAAAAACCACTCAAATCAACAGGATGGATAAACAGATGGTGGAATTCTAAACAGCAACGAAAGTGAAAGAACCACAGTCACAGGCAGCAACGGGGAGGGAACCTCAGGGACGTAAGAATCCGCAGTGAATATTCCATTTGTAATCAAAGTCAGTCACGGCTAAATCATGCTGTTCAGGGAGGCGCACACACACTGCTGGTCACACCACAAAGAAAGGCAAGAAAGTCATTAGCACCAAATCCAGGGCCGTGTGGGAAGCTGTGGGAGGGGAGGTCGGGACGGGGTGCTGGGGGCTTGAGGAGCTGGCAGTGTGCGTGGTCTGGGTTTCGGCTTTACAGTTAGTTATTAGCTTTATGCACTTTTCTGTTTGTGTGTCACAGATCACAATTTTATGACAAAGCAACAATAAAACTTTCTCCAGAGGGATCTCAGGAGAAATTCTCAGCAAGAATGAGATAGAACCCCTTATGCATTCAGCAGCGTGTAGCGGCATCTCAGTGAGCACAGCATGACAAGCTGTAACAAAACCTATGAGAGGCGCACAAAATACAGTGCAAATTTCTTAGGAAGCTGGGCCAGCTCATCCTGAATCATGACACAGCTTGACATCACCCACAGAGATCCAAAATTTACAACAGCAACCTAGGGCCCAGTAGAAGCACGCTGTAAACGCTGCAAACACAGCACTATGTTGTAATTGGTCTCCTGGTCAGAGGACTTCTGCGGGGTCAGCAAATGCAGGCTGCTGCCTGCAGGGTGCTAGAAGCACACAGAAGTGCCGGGAGCCAGGGAGACAGGGCGTGGAGGGGAGGACAAGGTGCACAGTGGAGGACGCCACGGAGGAGAGGATGCAGGAGGCAGATCAGGGACCTAGCGCAGGGGGACAGGAGACGTGTCCAGCGCAGGAGTGAGGCCAAGGGGAGGGTCAAGGCGGGGTCAGGGGATAATAAGATCAAGGGAGAGGCACCAGCAGCCCTGCAGCCAGCGGGCTCCTTCTTATCTGACCAGCCAACCCCGGTGCAGCAGAAGGGCCTTCAAGGCCCCCCCGGTGCAGCCCCCTGGCTCAGCTCATCTCACCAGGTGGCTTGGTCCCTGCCCACCCGTCACACTTCCTTCCCAGCAACACTAGGTGCCCCCTTCCCCTCGGCAGGGTCTCGTGCCCTCTGTGTTTCTGCCCTTGCAGATCCTACGGCCTGGACGCCCTGCCCTCTGGCCTCCTGGTACCGTCAACCCGTCAGACACCACCCACCATGAGAAGCCCCCGCCCCGCCCACCCCCGGAGTGTGATTACCGACTGGGAGCCTGCTTCTCCCTCGAGCATGGGCCCAGCCCTCGGCACATACTAACCACACCACAAACGCTTGACTGCCTGAAACTGGAACACAGGAAATCCTGGCCGTACGTTTGGAGGTAGAAGTTGGCCTTCAGCAACGTGGAAAGGAATATATTTGCGGGCTGTACGCCCCTCAGTTGCTCTAACCTAGTAAGGTTTCACGTCTGGGGCTGGGGAACAGGGGCCCAAGTGGCACCCTGCATAAACATGACCCATAGCATCTGTCACCTGTGCTGCAACCGTCCCCCTAGAGACACACAGCAGAGGGTTTGCAGTGTGACTCTGCTGGGAGCCTCTCTGTGGCTCAGTTTCCTCACCTGTTAAAATGGAGACAGAAAGAGCCCCTACGGAGTTAGGAGGTGGCAGGATTTCAGTGAGTATGCAAAGTGCTCAGAAGAGGGGCCAGCACTCGGTGTTGGCTGTCATAGCCACTACTGTTTATCTGTCCCCTGACGGGGCTGAGGGCCCTGTGAGCTGCCTGTCCGACACGGAAGCAGTTCAGGATGTTTGGTGGCTGCAGGAATCTCCACTGACTGGGCTCCAGATCACCCTCCACTGACAGAAACTTTGGGGTATCTGAAGGCAGGGGGGTGAGGGGGCGGGGGGCATCACGCCCAATCTGATGTCAGCCTGCTAGTAACCTTCGTCCAAAACCATATAAGGCCAAGTAGAGGGGATGTGCCCATTCCAGTCTGGGTCCAGCTGTATTGTGGTTGATGGTATCTTCCAAAGGCAGCTACATCCCATGACAACGACACTCCTCTCAGAAGATGGGGTCTTCTTCCCTCTTTTTGCATCTGGGTGAACTGGGGTGACCACGGCAGAAGCGAAGCATGGAGACAGCTGATGCTGGGGTTAGAAAAGGCCTCTTTCTTCTGGCTCTTCCTCTCTTGAGACGCGTGCCCTTGGACCCAGCCACCATGCGGTGAGGAAGCCCATGCTGGCCCACGTGGAGAGTCCACGTGGAGAGGCTCATGTGGGGGAGGAAGTGAGGCCCCCAGCTGACATCAGCATCAACTGGACACGTAAGTAAACCAGACATCAGATGGCCCCTCCCCCAGCCTTCAGGTCTCCAGCTGAGGCCCAGGTACCACGGAGCAGGACCAAACTGTCCCCAGCGTGCCCTGTCCAAATTCCTGACGTGCAGTATCCATGAACACAATACACGGCTGTTTTACACTAGTCTGTTTGGGGGTAGTTATGTACACAGCTACAGTAAGTGGAATGTACATAAAACCACTTCCGGAGTTCCCAGGACACGCCGTGATCTCTCACACCTCCCCTTGGTGGCACATCCCGATCTCTCTGCTAAACCCCAGAGGCAGACCCAGCTCAGATGCCACCTTGTCCTTGGCGGCCTCCCCTGTCCTGTCGCCATGCTCACATCACACCCCACAATCTCTCTGCTGATCTGTCTGATCCTTCCAGTACAAGAGGCAGCATAAAGCAGCCAGAAAGCCATGGATCCCGTAGCCAGACTGCCTGGATGTGAATCATGGTTCCACCACTTAGGAGCTGTGTGGTCTCAGGCAAGTTTCTTAAGTGCTCTGTGCCTCGGTTTCCTCATCTCTAAGCCGGGGATAACAACAGCTTCTTCCTGGTGAGGCTGCTGTGAGGATGGGCCTTAGGGGTGGGAGTGTGATGCCTTATCTATAAGCCTGTGCTCACAATGAACAGTCCATAGTGTTACCCACTGTCTTCTGTAAACACCTTGCAGGCAGGAACTGAGGCCCACCCACAACAACTACCAAAGGGCTTGACACTTCCATACTCAATCAACACGGAAGGAACGAATGGATGGACACAGGCCACAGCTCCAGGTGAGGCTCAGAGAGGCGGGGCAGGCGGGTATGGCCAACACTCAGTCTTGCGCTCAAGGAGCTCATCCTGTCACAGCCTGGGAAGCTGCACCTTCCCCAAGGTGATCAGACTTCCAGTCCCCAAAGACAAAACCCTCAGGCGAGGCCACAGGGGCCCAAGGTTCATCAGCCTCTCTGTCCAGAACCACCAAGCTAGGCTGTCCTGCAATCCACTCCTGGGAAGAGCTTGGTGCCTGAGCTCACATCCTTTCCTGTGTCACAGCACACGCAGCACGCTCCTGATTACGTGCTCCACCTGTCTGTCCATATGCAGCTCTGCATTCAACTGGTCGGATCATCAAATTTCATCCATCTCTCTCAGTTCAGGACTTTTGACCTTTTCACAGTGCTATGGGGCCAGACAGTCTGGCCAAATACCAGTCTGCTGACGGTGTCTGTTAAAGAGTCATTAGTGAGTCAATAATGCATCTCGGAGAAGGGAGACAAGACAGAATCTCCTCGAGATGACTCAACCAGCCCACACCAAGACCCACTGACCATCTGGACAAATCAATGCCCTTCCGAGCCATGCAAAATACCACCCACCCCACCCCAGCTGGCATGTTTAAACTGGACAACTCAACACACACCCCAGGAACAAACACAGAGATATGCTGGCTCTGGACATCAGAAGAGCAAAAAAGATTATGAGTGGGGTTCTCGGCCAGCAGCACTGTCGCCTGACCACGCTTCTGACCACAGCTCCAGTTCTGGTCCCCTTGAGAGGCCCCAGACACACAAGTGACCAAGGGGCCCACAGGGAGCATCCAGCATGAGGGAAGGGATGGGTTCCCACCCACCCCACCCCGGCCTCTCTCTTTCTCGCCCTGGAAAATCAGGTACCTGGAACTTTCAGCTCCATTCTAGATACCAAATCTTAAAGGAACTAGAGACAAATGCACACAATCAGGGGCAAAGGACCAGAATGGAGATGAAAGGAGGATGGCACTGGAGACTTGAGGCCTGGAGAAAAGACATTAGGGATCACTTTCATATAAGTGATGACCACCTTCATCCAGAGGGTCAGACAGGACCCACTCATCCCAGGGGCAGATCCTAGGACTTCAGCTTAGTATAAGAAACAATTTCTGGCAGGTAGTCTTCAGAGATGAAAGGTAGTGAGCTCCCTGCCAGTGGAAGCATGCAATCAGAGGTTAGGCAGCCTCTGAGCTGAGACCTTAAAGGGGTTCCAAGCAGCTAGGATTTTACAGGTCCCTTCCGACGCTGAGATGCGAGGCTTTCTTTCCTCACTGGCAACTTCTCCCACCAAGAGCTGTCTGGACAGGAAGCTGCAGACCAAGAGGTTACTCTCCACCCAGCCTCCCATCCAGCATCCCCCCTGGCCTGACAACTGCAACCACACAGCCCTCAGGGGCCCGAGGGACTTCAAGAGAGGACCCGCTAAGAAGCATACTCTGACTGTCCCTGCTAGCTGCAGGGGACTGTCCTCATGAGTCCCCCACTGCAAGTGACACTGGCTACAGGTCACTGACGATCCCCAGTTCACCTCCTCCACACACCCGCAGCCCCTAAAGCCGGCCTTAGGGCCTAGGCCTTTTCGCTGCACAGAAATACTTTGGTTATTTGGAAAGATGTATTTCAGAGTAACTTGTGGATGAGCCCGGAAAACTTAATTTTGACCACTTTGGACAGAAACCTTCTCTGCTCAGTAAATAGGGGCACCCAAACATTCCTTCCCGCTTTTTCTGTGACTGGTGATCACCACTGACAACGACGGATGCGACGTGTCACAGCCAGGTGGGCGGGGTCCTCCCTAAGCACCTGTCC